TTAAATCTAAGGCTTTTGTATACTTAATTTTAAAAAAAACATTATTCATAGTGTTCACAATTTTAATCTAATTGACTGGCAGATTACTTGTGATTGTCATTGTACTGTAATGTTGTTTTTTAAAATGTTTAGGACATTCCCGAAGACGTTAGGCTTATAAACACGATGTTACAGATACTGTACGTCTACTCAGAGCAACAGATATTTGAGTATTTTTGTGGCGTGTTTGTGATAATTGTAGGCTATTGTAAATAAATGTTGATCACAATTCAAATCTTAAGTTATTGTTGGTTGAATCATGTTGAAATCACATTGTAGGGCCTAACCGGAGTAGTGCCGTAAAGTAGACGCCCTTACATTGAGGTGTTATGAAATAGGTCCAAGTTAGGACATGGGATTAGCTACTTTTTTGGAAAGGAAAATGAATGACAATGTTTTCTAACAGCCTAGAGTTTATTACTGAATCGAGTTACTGTTTATATAGAAAGTACTTTGAGATTCTACTTGAAAGTCCTAGGAATCAATGGCAGTTAAACTTTCTAAAAGTTTAAGAATTCGGAATCTATAAAGGCCAGCCAGCTTATTATTATTATTATTATTATTATTATATGTTATATTATTATATTATGTTCATGACTTACAGTAGCCTAATATGCATGCAATGTAATGTAAATAGGAAGGTTTACTTTGTATTGATGATGTTAATGACAGAATATAGAAGTAAACTTCATTCACGTTGAGAAAGGTTTTGAAAGAGTTTCATATATTTTTGTGTGAATAAAGTATATTTATGTTTCCGAAAACCTCTAATTCATTCTTCATTTTAGTGTCTTGTGACCATAATTATTTATGCTTGAAGAGTAAGTGCTGTACATCATTAGATGCCTTAGAACTTTATGTCGGGGAAGACGAGTAAATTTTGTCTGGGAATAAACAAATTAAACAAAATGTTTGCATGTAATGTTCGTTACGACCATATTGTTTTCATTGAACTATTTGTGTTAAGTTTTCATCACATTAATAATAATAATAATAGTTCAATGAGACTAATTAAAAATAGTTCTGTTATGACAAATGCTCGTTTGGATAGCCTCATGATGCTTGGAATACATCGCGATAGGGGAAGCAACCTCGACCTTGACATCGTGGTTGACATATTTCGTGCAAAATTTCCAAACTGTAGAATTTCACTTTTAAAAAAGAGAATTTGAAAGTAAATTAGATGGTTACATTGCAAATTGTTTGTTTCTTGTTTTATTCAAAATGTTTTGGTTTTGGAAGCTGATTTAGACATTAGAAAACATAGCCTACATGAAGTCTCATTATAGTAGCTTGATGCCTATCAAATAAGTAATAAAAATTCGCCATAATTCATCAAATATCTTTGGCTTCCAGGGGGTGAAGCCTGGAACCCCACCGCAGTGGCGTATCTAGATGTCTTGAAAGGGGGGGGGGGTGGCAAATTAAGATGATTTTAGGTGATTTCTTACTACTTCACCGTGATTTTAAACCAGTGTCAGCATAATCTAGGTAAGCATGTGGTTAACATAAGCAAGCCCCCACACTTCACCTTCGCGCCTCCCCCCCCCCATTTCAAGACATCTAGATACGCCACTGACTTACATGGCCAGATGAATGAAAGTACAAATTACCAGGTTTCTGGGTTGATTTGCAAGTTACTACATGGCGCAACTATTTTTTTTCTTAGGGGTTAATTGGTAAATATCGCACACAAATCATACGACGTCACTGACAACGCCGGGGACGGCAACTCGATTTTGAGATTAATTTTCCGAATATAGTTATACTAAATAACTTCTAATGATAAACTATTGTCTTCAGTTGTCTTTATTGGTCATATAACTTTCATTTTATCTATCTTTTCGATGATATTACCATTCTCAATAATCTATAAAACACCCACATAACAACGTCACGTTAGATCGATCGGTGGGGACGCCGGTAGGGTCAATTTCCGTTGGAAGGTATCAAGATGAAAACAGTTTCATTGGACTAAATTATTGCTTTATGTTAACCACATGCTTACCTAAGATTATACTGACACTGGTTTCAAATCGCAGTCAATTAAGTAGTTAACAATCACCTTATTTTGATCATCGAGCCCCCCCCCCCCCACCCCCCCTCCACCCATTTCAAGTCATCTAGATACGCTACTGACTTGCATAGCCAGATGAATGAAAATACTCAATCGATGTGCATTTTATAAATTTATCTATTTTTTCGGTGATATTACCATTCTCAATAATCTATAAAACACCAACATAGCAAGACACGTTAGACCAATCGATGGGGACGCCGTGGTGACGCCGGTAGGGTCAGTTTTCGTCGGAAGGTATGAAGATGATAAACAGTTTCATTGCGAATTTTGCGAATTAGCACCCCTCAACTGATTATCCACCCCGACTTACTTCACCTTCGCGCCCCCATCAACCCTCATTTCAAGACATTTACATACGTCACTGAATTACATTTCCAGATGAATGAAAATACTCAATCGATGTACCACCAAATCGTAACCAGCCTTCACCATAGCCTCAACAAACTACCGGGTTTCTGGGTTGATTTGCAAGGTATAACATGGCTCAACTATACACATCTACCAAAGAAATAGGAAATATGGGCTTATCTGTAATTATTTTATTATTAAATCAATCTTAAATTATAATTGGGTGGATTTGTACTGTAGCGATTGGAAAGGAATTGAGAAAGAATGTTGCTTCAATGTGGCCGAAAATGAGCTCCGCTGTTAAGTTCTGGATTCTACACATGACTGAAAATAATTCATATTTACACTGCACTTTTAGATATGAAATATAATATAATAAGAGCAGTTTTCTGTTATGAGTCCATAATATTTATTTTATTTCTTGCTCCTGGCAAGATTGTACAATAAATTTGCCAAGTAAATATTAAGCTGAATGAGACTTAGTTCATAAAGAAATAATAAGGTACCACAAGGCTCAATTATTATTTACTTAGGGGTTAATTGGTAAAAATCGGACACAAATCATACGACGTCACTGACAACGCCGGGGACGACAACTCGATTTTGAGATTAATTTTCCGAATAAAGTTATATTATACTAAATAACTTCTAATAACGAACTATTTTGTCTTTAGTTGTCTTTGGTGGTCATTCAACTGTCATTTTATAAATTTATCTATTTTTTCGGTGATATTACCATTCTCAATAATCTATAAAACACCCACATAGCAAGACACGTTAGACCGATCGGTGGGGACGCCGTGGTGACGCTGGTAGGGTCAGTTTTCGTCGGAAGGTATGAAGATGATAAACAGTTCCATTGCGAATTTTGCGAATTAGCACCCCTCAACTGATTATCCACCCCGACTTACTTCACCTTCGTGCCCCCATCAACCCTCATTTCAAGACATTTACATACGTCACTGAATTACATTTCCAGATGAATGAAAATACTCAATCGATGTACCACCAAATCGTAACCAGCCTTCACCATAGCCTCAACAAACTACCGGGTTTCTGGGTTGATTTGCAAGGTACAACATGGCTCAACTATTTTTTTACTTTAGGGTGAATTGGTAAAAATCGCACACAAATCATACGACGTCACTGACAACACCGGGGACGGCAACTCGATTTTGAGATTAATTTTCCGAATAAAGTTCGGAATAAAGAACTATTGTCTTCAGATCAGAAGTAGTTAAAAATCACCTTATTTTGCGAATTAGCGCCGCCCCTCAACTTGTCTCCCTATCGGCCCCCACCCTATTTCAAGACGTCTAGATACGCCACCAAATCGTAACCAGCCTTCACCATGCTCTCACAATGTCACCGGGGACGCAACTACCAAAAAACTATTTTGGTAATTATTTACATATAATCGTTTTGACGTAAATGCATTATATATAAATAATGGGTGATCTATTCAATTACATGTTAAATAATGAATTGGCCGAGTTCGCCTAGAGGAAAAAACAACGGCCGTACGAGGGCACATTAGGAACGTCACGCAATAGGAAGGAAAGAATACACTGTATTTATTTCGATTACTGTAGTGTGTATTCATATTTGGGGTAAAAAATGAGTTTTTATTATGTTTTACTTTTGCTTGCTAATCGAGTTCTATTTGCTGCCCTGCACATTTTCCATACTGTAGTAGATAGCAAGGAACTACACCAACGAAACATTTTTGTCTTTTTTTTGTGGGGGGGGGGGGGGGGGGGGGGCGGCCTGACCGTCATCCTGTACGTAAAGGCTGTTTTCCACTATCGAATCGAAAGCGTCGGTTCATGCGCATGCGCATTCAATTCTATCAGGTTTTAGAAGCGAAAAAATGCGCAACCAATCAGAGCTCAGAAAATTCGTTTCGCGCGAATAAATTCGCCTAGAGGAAAACTGTCTTAAGTCTTACGCATTCTTTCATTCCAAACACCGGCAAAACTTACCCTTATCTTAAAATTTGAGTAAATTTTGTTTCTTTTTCAATTTAATCAATTTATATATACAGTAACTAATCCATTATCAAAACATCTACCTCCATGTTTCAATAACTATTGTATCTAAGATCATTAATATCGATTAAATAGGCCTATGCCATTTAACCCAAAGGGTTGAGCCCGACAAGGAGCCTTTGGCGGTCCCCGGGCCCCGGCCACTGTTCGTACCTTCGGCACTCAGTATGTGTCACCTGCTCTTACTCGAATTTTCTCAAGGTTGACAGGTATGGGGGCGGTGCGGTGCACCCCTCGCACCTCCCAGCATACGCCCCTGATTACTCTGATGATATATAGGGGCCAGCTATAAGTGGTTACGAAACGACTGGGTTGGCAAATGTTTATGCCTGGGTTACAGTCTTAGTCCGTGTTGCTATGTTCGTCGTTAAACTTTTCATAACTACGAACTTGGCAGCACGTTGTCCACACTATGTAACAACAATATTGTGCGCTAATTGCGTTCCATACATATTTTGAGGTCGTAGGTCAAAATCTAAAAGCACATGTGGAATGTTGATACAGTACACTGTGTAGCCGCACACAAACACATCAATATGGAGCCGGCTAGAAAACTGATCGTGGATCTTTTCGAAATAAATGCTCTAAAATTTGGCAAGTTCACTCTGAAGAGCGGGATAGAATCTCCAGTTTACTTTGATCTCAGAGTAATCGTGAGTTATCCTGAAATAATGGTAAGATAAGAACCGTATGCGTATAGATAGGCCTAATTAGGCGGCCCTTCCTTAGGGCTCGGGCTCGGTTGGCCCACCTAGCCTAGGCCTACCTACCCTAGCTAGCAATGATCTCATGCTGCGTTTAATAGAACTTGTGAAAACTGATTTCACAACATGCGAGTACACAAGAAGTGTGCATTAATTAGACAAACGCTAAATGGCTGCTGTCACTTTTGCAATGTGTGCGAAAATAAAACATACGAAAACACTTTTAAATCTGAAATAATATTACTTAAACAAATTGCAATAAATATGTTGGGTTGCAAATAAAAGACTTATTTTTCTGAAATAGTATAACTTAATAAACTAATTGCAATAAATACCTATGCTCATTGAACGCATTTCACAAGTTGTGAATTGGGAAACACCAACTTCACTAGTTCTAATGAATGCAGCATTATAAACACAAGATAGCATTCTCTGCGATTTCCACCCTCTTGTAAAAGTGAAATCTTTTGAACTTTGACCACCGGCGTACGCCGCGCGATTTTAAGTCTACGCGTAACAATTAGCATCCGATTAAAAATGTGCCCTCTCTGAACAATTACGGAACAATTAATGTGCTTGGTAACAAACTTTTGGCATAATGCGAAAACCCTATCTCAGATCCATAGCAACAACGCCTAGGACGTCCTCTCCCAAAGTGATTATTTTTGTGTGCCAAATCGACGCTTCTATTTGTTATGTTGTAGATGTTAATTTTGAAAGTGGTATTTCTCGAATTTGTACTTGAGTGAAAGGAAGACCTATGAACAAAATTTTTAAAAAATGCCGACCCGATTTTTTGGAAAATTTTGTTCAGCCTCGGAGGGCAACACAATATTCTTTTTTTGGCCTAACCAGTGTACTGTTGCTAATTTTTAACTGAGTATCAATTAACATATTAGAATGTGGCAGTATTGTAGAGGAGCCATAACAGTGTTACTCATATTAAGCAATAATAAGTCGATTCCAGTAAATGACCTTATAATGTGGAGAATATGAATATAATATAAAGTAAATTTTCATTTTTTGGTCAGTGATGGTGTTTCTGGGATAGCAATCGTAGCCAGCGTGCATGCACTTTTTATATAATCAAATTTTACCATGATTATCTTATTGTTACTTTCAGCAAAAAGTTTCAGAACTCCTGTGGCATTCAGTTGGAGCTGATATAGAATTCAATCATTTATGTGGCGTGCCATACACTGCATTGCCTCTAGCTACCGTAAGTTGTAAAAAATACAAAAACAAAAGTTGAATACCTGGGGCCGGATTTATCAAACTAGAAATCAGCTAAATTTGTCTTAAGTCTGTTTTTTTGCTTAAGTCCGATTTATCAATATGGCTTTAAGCTTTAAATTTCTTAAAAATAAGAAGTCAATTGTACGCATGCGCCACCTAAGACGACTTTTACATTAAGATTTTGCTATTGGTTTGATAAATCATCTTAAGATTAGCTTTGGGTCATCTTATGTTTTTTGACTTACTTTTGCTAAGCTGAGATTGATAAATCCCAGGCCTGGTCTTTAGGTCATCAGAAAACTTGGTCCATAATTTCGGATCCCCAAAAAAAACAGAAAAACGCCTCATATGTGATGTGCACAGAGCACTAAAAGTTGTAATTGTTGGTAGAAAATCTTGTATTATATTGATGATGTTATATGCCCTTGTATAAAGATTGCTGATGTGGGGTGATATAGTATTATGCGATAAAGCAATACATGAAAATATCAATTTGGATTTTATTTAAATTATTTAAATTTAAAACATTAAATGGTAAAAGCTATGTTTAGTGTGTGCTCTATATGTGAAAGAAATGTAATTGTTTTATTATAGGTATTTTATATTCAGTGATATTTTGACATTACTTTCTTTTAGTGCATGGCTGTGAAATACAACAAACCAATGCTGATTCGTAGAAAAGAAGCCAAAGACTATGGAACTAAAAAGATGATTGAAGGAATTTTTGGAAAAGGAGATAAGTGCTTGATTGTGGAGGATGTTGTCACAAGTGGGACCAGTGTCATGGAAACGGCAGAAGTAAGAAAAACAAACAACAATCAATCAAATAATTTATCCAGCGAGACACAGACTGGTGATACATTTAATTTTTGACTGATTTCTTGATTTTTTATTATCGATGTTTCTGAATTTTTTCCCATACTAGAATTACCTTTTTTTCCAAATATCAATTTCACATTCATTGTAATAATGCATTCAAACACTCCCAGGTTTGCTATAGACCTGGCCTTATTACTTTCCACAAGAATTAAGTGTTTTATAAAAGCAGTGCATGAAGATTTTTGGAGCACATTGGAACCATCAAAATTTGGGAGCCAAATAAATCTTTCTTTGATTTATTTTTGTTGAATTTATTTCAATATACACTTGGTTAGTATTTATTCCATTGTTGCTACTTTGAATATTATTTTTTGTTTGGCTAAGCTTGCCACCATTCTATTGGTGTACCTAGGAGGCCTAGGTCTTCATATAGGAACTGCAGTTTGAGGCCTATCATATTTCAGGTATTACAAAAAATTCCAACCAACCAGCGATCTCAATTTTTTTCCATTTAAGGGCAACACAACATTTTTTTTTTTGGCTTTATAATAATAACAATGGATGCATGGACATTATAGCATTGTAGTAGCCCCGAAAGGCTTCGTAGAAGATGCTTATTCTGTTGTGGGCATTTGTAGTAGGTATAATAGTGGAATCTTTGAATTCCTAATGCCCAGAAAACCAGATTTCACGCTAAACCAAAATTTTTTTCAAGTCCCAATACCATTTTTAATAAAATACTTTCCGAAAACCGGACCTCCTTATTCCGAATTCCGGACTTTTTATTTGGTCCGGAACACAATAATCAACTTCTACCAAAACCGAACAAACAGTTAAGAACAACGACTTCCAGACGAAATAACACAATAATCATTGCTGTCTAGAAATTAACAACTAGTTCATACAGCTAGCTCAGTACCAATAGCGCTGCCGTTGGTAATATCTCAGAATTACGTAACCCTCCATCCGAACATGTTTTCATTTCGAAATAGAGTAAAATCGAGAGCTCTTAATCGGGAGGTTCGTAATTGGAAAATGTTACTGTAACATACTATAAAAATTGTTGCCCTCTATTTGGTTAATTGAGGTGTTTCTTACAACACAGACAGTATGAAAATTAAATGGATATGTGGGTGTTACAGCACAGCATTGTAGAAGGCTCAGATGGCTTTGTAGAAGGCATTAGTACTCGATAGTGAAGTGGGAAATAATGGCAATGTGATAGCAGGTGTTATAATAAAAATATTTCCCTCTTCTGTAATAAAAAATAACAGCCGAAATATTGGGTCATCATAGTAACTTATTTTTTTCAACATAGATTATGTGTCCAGACTATCAAATTTTTATATTGTGAAGTGCCTAATATGGTCATGTTGACATCACAACATGACCATGTATAGGCACGTCATGACTATATATGGGCATATAAAATATGTTTATTTTACAGAGTTTAAATCAAGTGGGCCTGAATGTGACTGATGCAGTGGTGCTGCTCAATAGAGAGCAGGGTGGCAAAAACATGTTAGCTTCAAATGGAATTCGGTTACACAGGTACAGTAGATAACTCAATAATTAAAAAATTTACCAAGGATAACGTATGCTTGTCAAAAACAACAGCAGAAGCAGCAGCAACAATAACAACAAGTTGTTCTTTTAAATGAATAATTGAAGGTTTTATTTACTTGTTTTTAAAATTTATTTTATTCATTTGGACAAACAAAGAAAAAGTGTTTCGCAAAGAAAAGAAACATCAACAGTGGCATATACAGGATTTTGAAAAGGGAGGTACTGAATCGAAATTATTACATCAACTGAACCTTATGCATCATATCGATGGGAATGACTACCATAAATTACTGGTTATTCTCTAAAGTAACTTATATTGCCATTTGTTACTATTAATTTACTAATATTTTGTTAGCCATTGAACAAAAATAGGGGTCTCATTCACCATAACCCCCCCCCCCACACACACACACACAGTTACACCACTAATAATGCAGTACAATTCTAGGGGGCAGCAAAAGCAGAGAAAGACACTCATTCACAGGTTTGGTTTCTCCAAAAGAGAAAAGGAACATTAAGAAAAATCATCAACAAAAGATGACTGACATGAAGTGAAGGCGATTTTAGAATTTATTTTTTGTGTGGCTGTATAAAATATTAATTTCTTATGCATTTATTGAAATAATTATTCACAGATTTTATATTTTGTTTTTGTATAGTGTACTTACGTTGTCTCAGGTTAGTAGAATCTTAGAGGAAGAAGGAAAACTGAGCACGGAAGTTGTAGAAGAAGTTAAAGAATTCATTCTTAAAAATCAGTTTCAAAATGGAGACACTGCTGTCAAGAGAAAACCAGATAATAATGAAGAGAGTGAGAAAAAGAAGATGAAACATGTGAGTGAATTTTTTTTATTTTAAACAAAGTTGGCTTTTAGCTAGGAGCTGAGGTTGTACTTAGGTTGTTCAAATCAACAGAGTGGAGTTAATGGCTTGGTGGTTAAGATGCTTGCCTTCCAATCCCAAGATCCTGGGTTCAATTCCTGTCAGTTGCAGGATTTTTTCTCACGACAAAAACAATTCCACTCCCTAAATCTCATATTGAGATTTAGTTTGTGTAAAGCATCGTGTGTCTATGTTTGTCTTAACAAAGGGATTGTCAGCTACAAGTAGGACAGTGATATAAGCGCTATTAGCAGTCCTAGGTTCATGTGTTGTAAAGTAAAGTAAACAGAATTTTAGAAGAAGAAGGAACATTCAGTGAGGAAGTTGTGAAAGAGCTTAAAGCATTCATTGTCAAAATCAGTTCCAAAGTGAAATAGGTGCCATCAAGAAAAAAACCAAAGAGGTGGCCCTGAAGAAGTGATATAAATAGATCTGATGGTGAACTTGCATGTTTGCCAGTCAAAAGTGTGTTAGAGGATGAAGCAAAAAGGATCACCATGGAAGATGTAGAAGTAGTTAAATATTTCATTGTCAGAAATCCGTTTCAAACTGGAGCAGGTATTTTCAAGAGGAAACCAGAAAATAATGAACGAAATGAGAAAGAGAAAATGCAACAGGTGAGATTGAATTTATCATTTTTTATTAAGCTGACTCTAAGGAGTGATGTAATTAATTTTAATTTTGCAAACAATATTTTTATCTTTAATGTAAGCATAATGGCCTATTTATCTTGATTTGCTGCATTGCAGCCTATAAACTCACTTGCATGTAGAGTACATAGATTTGTTTAAATTTCATATTTGCATATATATGACCAGTAGTAGAGAGTAAGGGTGAGAGAAAGAGAAAAGCGATTAGCTTACAAAAATAGGAAACTTTTCAAAAGAAAAGCAGCATAGCAGATTGCATCTTTTAGTCACTTTAACGAATCGTTTGTCATGGAAATGTGAACCTGGTTTAAGGAAAGAGTTGGAGTAATATCTGCTTGAAAATGCATCACACACATACTAATAATAGGCACCCTAGTTTGACTGTAGTGAGAGAGACCTTTAACACACCCTGAACCGAGGATGGTATTAATATTCTTTTTTATATTTTTTTCTTTTTTTTTTAATATTGATTATTATATATATATATATTATTATTCTATATTCATTTTTATATATATATGCATATATTTATTATATATTTATTTATACATTTATTTTTATATACTTATTTGTGTATATATATTTATTTATTTATATATATATACTGTATTATTATATATATATATACTGTAATTATTTATATATTTATTTATATATTTGTTTGTATATTTATTTGTATATTTATTTATATATATATATTTGTATATGTATTTATATATATTTATATTTTTATA